CTCCGCCCGCCGCGCACCTCCGCTCACCGCTCGCCCGGCTCCAGCAGCCGCCGCACCGTGAGTACCCGCGTCCGGTAGCCCGCCGTCCCCGCGCCCTGCACCGACAACCTTTTTTCGTTTAGTTCTGATTTGGACTCTCGCGGCTGTTTTTATTATTATACCAACGACTCCACCGCCTTGCTCCCACCGCTGCCCGCCTCCCGCCTCGGTGCCTTCCCCAAACTCACCCCTCAATCTCCAGGAGCTGGCGAGGGTTTCCCGAGCTGCCCTGGCCGCTGCTCCTTCTCGCTGCGAACGGCCCTTCGCCGGTGCTCTCCGCTTTGGACCCCCAAATTGTTTCTTTCCTAGGGCCCCCCTTCTACTGGCTCCGAGGCCCAGAGCCCTCTCCTCTCACTCGAGAAAACCCGAGTGGGGGAGGACGCGCTCGGGTCGGGGCCCTCTCTTCACTGTATGCGGGCCGGGCACACTTGCCTATTTCGGGAAACCAGGAAGTCATCGTCATTTCCCAGAGCCGCGCGCCCGCCAGTCACCTCCGCAGCCTGCCTGAGAGCCCTCCAGTAGGGCGCGGGGCTTGTCTTGCTGACCCCTCAGCCGAGGGCAGGGGAGTTAGCACAGTGTTCTTGCCTCCTAAAATGTTGCAAGGAACTTCAACGCAAAGGAAGGGAGGGTCAACTTGTTTCAGTTCGATCCGCGGAGATAAAGATGAAACAGACAGCTAATAGATAAATAGCTTGATACTTGAAGAGGCACGAAAACAGATGGGAGAAAGAGGAGCGAGCTGGCAGACACAGACAGCTCAGGGACAGATATGATCGACAAATGAGGAGCACCTACACAAATAGGGAGACAGACAGACAGACAGAAGATTCCAGTCTACTCGCTGAAGACTTTTGAACTCGGATCACTTGTTAGGCTGGAGCGACCCCTCTAAAAACGGATTTGCTTTTCCTGAGTTTAGGGGTCGGGCCCTCAGGGTGGGGTTGCCAGGTGTGCAGGAGCGCCTGCGGCCAAGGGCCAGGTCGGAGCCCAGCGTGTCTGAGGACACGTGGCTGGGCCGGACGACCTAGAGGGCCCCAAGCAGAAGTCCCCGGGTGCCCCCGCTGCTGTCTGTGGTAGCGGCTGTCTCCCTGCCTAAGCCAGAAAGCAAAGCTCGGGACCAGCAGCAACTTTTGTGCCCGGAGCCTTGCAGTGGCTTCGAGGACAAGCCCGGATTCCTTCCAGCCCATATGGGCAGAGACAGCGGGCATGAAGGATACTCAGAGAGGAAACTCCCCCAAAAGAGGAAGTCCAGAGCTCCGGGAGCCTGCATTTGGCCTGAGTGGGAAAGACATATCTGAAGGAGAGAAGCCCAGGGAGTGGGCGATTGGAAGCGAAGAAGAAATGGCTTCCGAGAAACTTCTTTGAGAACCCCTCTGCCCCATGCGCTGACCCCGACGGAAATCAGCTTTGGTGTGAAACGCAGCTAAAAATACAGAAAATGTGGTTAGGAACTACATGATCCTGGTCCTACTGATGTCTGGAAAGAAAACGGTTTATATATCCAGCCGGAATCTTTCTGCTTAACGAACGCGGGGCACCAGGCGTGAGAGGAGAAGCTTGGGTTTGTGGAAACCAGCGCTGTTGTCCCCGGAAGCCGGCTCCGCACGGCGCTGGGTGCGGTGGGGGCCATCCTGGGTCTGGGCACGCACGGCGCGCTTTGGAGAGGGTCGGGTGCTGTTCAGCACCGCGAACAGCAGTCGCCACTGCCTCTCCCCCT